TCAAGCCAGATTGAGCGGGACTCTGGAAGGATTCGGCCAACTTCCGACCACGGATCTACCCGCGCCGATGCTGAATTTAACCCCTCAGGAGTTGCACCCGAACTGACCCCACCACTTGAGCTGCGACTCCCATCCGACCCCGACCACGCACCGACATCCCCACCACTCGGAGGCCGGGCAAAGGCTGCTAAATCCGTGGCTGCTACAATCGACCTCCGGGAAATTGTCTTCGTCCTTCTGGGAAGAAGCCCGTTGACTGTTTCGCGTGCCGCGCCTCATTCCGGGAAGTCGATTTTTCCTTCCGGGAGGGCCGTTTTAGCAGCCGCGGTTTTAGCAGCCCTCGCCCAGCTTCCGAACCACCTCACTCTGTGCTGCCTCCCCTCCCCACCACCTCACTCTGTGTTGGAGGGGGAGGAGGAGGAGGAGGAGGAGGAGGAGGAGGAGGAGGAGGAGGAGGAGGAGGAGGAGGAGGAGGAGGAGGAGGAGGGGGAGGAGGAGGAGGAGGAGGAGGAGGAGGAGGAGGAGAACGAGGAGGAGGCGAACGAGGAGGAGGAGGAGGAGGAGGATGAGGTGTTGTCTCCCCTCCCTTAAAAACCCTTCTGCTCTCTGCCACGGTGGTCCGATCGCAGAGGGCACGCGGAAGGCCGCAGCGCTCTCCCGGCAACCACACTGCCACAAGAATGCATGTGGTCGGACAAGGTCGGCGTTTTACGAACCGTGCGGATTGGTGCGTCCTCCTCTCGACGGCGCACGGCCGTGCTCACACACGCGCCGTCACGAATTCGGCCTGCAGCCGCAGCGGTGCTCGTCCACACCTTTCTTCAGACCACAGGACACAAGATGAACCTTTGATTTGGCCCTACGCCTCTTAGAGGGACTGCTGCTTGGGCTTCTGCTCTCAAGAAGTCCCCGCCCCAGAGGCCTCCAGAGGCACCAGGCCCCGAAAGAAAGTGCAGCAGAGACGTCGATCCTCGACCCTGCGCCTCCTCCCCCTCCTTCTCCTCCTCCTCCAACTCCACCTCCACCTCCGCCTCCTCCTCCTCCTCCGCCTCCTCCTCCTCAACCTCCTCCTTCTCCTCTCCCTCCCTTTCTGAGAACCGCGCAGGGCAGGATCGTCCTACTACGTTCACCATATATATAGAGACATGAGCCTAAGCCGACGGGACCCCTGGCAGCCCCGACCCTGTCCCTATGACCGTCTTTGCATCCTGGGGCATTGGTCGGGGATCTACTGACCCGGGTCGATCCAGACCAGGGTCAGTCAGACTTTGCAGAATCTGCAAGAAACCCTGCACCCAAGCCCGACCAGTGCACCCCTGGCCCCGCAGGGTCCTGGAAGATCCGGCGCTCTGACTGACCCCCGTCTGCAGTGGCCCCCGTCCCTTGAAGAACCTCCCTTTTGGTTTCGACACGAGCGCTCGGAATCCGAGGGCCCAGTGCAGGGTTTAACTAGAGTAGGAGCTCGACCACAAGAAGCCTTCCACTAGAAGCCCAGCCAATCCTGAGACCCCAGGACGTCCATCGATTTTTGGTGTGGGACGTCACGATCTCCGTCGGAAAACCATCGAAACCCAAGGAACCCAGGGCACACTGGAGACAAGCAGGGTGCTTCTTGGCATGGGTCGCCACCGTACTGCAATCCATGCGTGGACACGGGAACCAAGGCCAAGAACATGCGCCCCTCCACCCGTGGCCCAGCGCCCCATGGCGGGGCGACGAGGCGAGCGAGCCTTGCGCCAGACGGCGCGTAAGCGAGGTGATGCAGCGCGCCGCGACTTCGAGTAGCAGCGCTCCCCAGTGCTGTTCGGTCGCCACGATTGCACTGCCAACTCCAACGATGCTGCCGCCCCACCTGCTTTGCGGAAGTGCTCAGGCAGCGCGTCGCGGGAAGGCGCAAGTTCGAGACAGTTTCGACACAACGTGTTTCTCCACGCTCGCCTGGGGCGCCACATGGAGATGGTCAACAACATCAAACTTCCAAGGCGCAGAGACCCACAAAAATCAAAGAGCAGATGGATGCCACTGCAGGGCCTGGGTGGCTCCCAACCCTCGTGACATCTGAGCGACGCAAGGAAATGGTGTCGTCTGCGCCAACGTTGGCGCGTAAGCTGTCCGCGCAAGGTCGCGCGTCAGCGCCCTCGTCTCCAGTGTAGCGTGCCCGGCTGGCGGCCTGCGTAAGCCGCCGCGTTAGGCCGCTGTGTCATCTCGCGTAAGACCCCTTCTTGATCGTCACTCAGATGAGCGCGCGTGACCACACGCGGGCAGCTTACGCGCTAATGTCGGCGCAGACGACCCCATTTTGTTACGTCGCTCATATGTGTCTCATCACACGCGACCCCCAGCAATCCCGATCCCCTCCCCGAGGCCAACTCGTCCTCCGGAGCCTGGCTTGGTTGACGGCCCTGGGGGGCCTGGCGAAGGCCCCCGAAGGCCGAACACGGAAAACAACACCATACGAACTGAGATTTCGAGCCGTTCCCCAAAGATGGCCCCATGAGCCCCCAGAGGCTCCCAAGAAGCTCCCAATCAACTCCCCAGAAGCCAGGACGCCCACAAGAGGCCCCAAAAAGCTTCACCCGTCGACACACCTCGTCCTTCTTCTGGGGGTCGGCGGAGTGGCGTAAGCCTCTTTAGTAACACCGGATGTTGATGCTTTTGATGCGAAGGAGGTCTGGGGGACGAGGGTGAGGAGGGAACAGCAGGGGGAGAAGCAAGACAGAGGAGGAAAAGCAGGAAGCAGCAGAGGGAGAAGAAGCAGAAGGAGCATGATCAGAGGGATAAGCGAAGAAATACGTAGCACCCGCAGTTGCGGATAAGAGAGAGGGGGCGGCGGGGACGTCGGCAGTCTGGGAGGCTCAGAAGAAGCCCGCCGCAGGCGCAGAATTTTGCAAGCTATGCAACGAGCCCTCCGCAGGCACCGATTTTAATACGTTGTAGAATGAAAGCGTTGGGGTCGCGGGCGCTCTCCTAAACCGATGCAAGGCAGCCCACCGCAGGCGCCGAATTTCGCATTTTGTATACGAATTTTGCACTTTGTATACTGAGTGGGTCGCGGGTTGGTCGCTGGTGGGTCGCAAATGGGTCGCGGGTGGGTCGCGGGTGGGTTGCGGGTGGGTCGCTGTTGGGTCGCGGGTGGGTCGCGGGTGAGTCGCAAGTGGGTCGCGGGCGGGTCGCGAGTTGGGTCGCAGGTGGGTCGCGGGCGGGTCGCGGGTGGGTCGTGGGTGGGTCGTGGTGGGTCGCGGGTGGGTCGCGGGTTGGTTCGCAAGTGGGTCGCGAGTGTGGCCGCAGGTGGGTCGCGGGCGGGTCGCGGGTGGGTCGCGGGGTGGGTCGTGGGTGGGTCGCGGGTGGGTCGCGGGTTGGTCGCAGGGTGGGTTGCAAGTGGGTCGCGAATTGGGTCGCAGGTGGGTCGGGTGGGTCGCGGGGTGGGTCGCGGGGTGGGTAACGGGGTGGATCGCGGGGTGGGTCGCGCGTGGGTCGCGGGTGGGACAACGACAGCAAACAACAGCAACCAACAAACAACAACAACAGCATCACCAACGCCAATGATAAGAACACCACCAACAACAACTACCACAACTATAACAATAACATCAACACCACCACCACCAACAACAACAGCAACAACAATAACTACCACGACGAACACAACAACAACAACAACAACAACAACACCAACAACAACAACAACAACAACAACAACAACAACAACAACGACAACAACAACAGCAACAACAACAACAACAGCAACAACGACAACAACAACAACACCAACAACAACAACGACGACGACAACAACAGCACCAACACCAACAGCAACATCAGCAACACCAAACACAACAACAACACCAACAACAACACCAACAACAACACCAACAACAACAGCAAAGCAACAACAACAACAACAACAACAGCAACAACAACATCAACAACAGCAACAACAACAGCAACATTAACAGCAACACCACCACCAACAACAACAACGCCGATAACAACAACAACAACACCGACAACAACGACAACAACAACAACGACGACGACGACAATAACAACACCGACAACAACACCAACAGCAACAATTCCAACAACAACACCAACAACAACACCACCAACAACAACGCAACAAACATAATCCTGACGACGGATTCTCACTTTAGCCACGCAACCAGGGACCATGAATGACCGTTCGGCCCCCTCGCTCTGGCAATCAAACTGATAGTAAGGATGCGCGATAAGGGTGCAAAATCCTTTGGGCGCCAATGCCGAGGCTTTTGGAGTGTGTCTGATACTCGAGTGCTTAGGGATAGACCGAAGAGGCACATATGCAAAGGTACTCTTGGGAAGGTTGCCCATCCTCACAGCCGGTTTCGACTGTAACGGAGAGAAAGAGAGAGAGAGAGAGAACAAAAACAAACAGAGATAGAGAGAGAGGAAGAGAGAGAGAGAGAGAGAGAGAAAGAGAGAAAGAGAGAGAGGGAGAGAGCGAGAGAGAGAGAGAGAAAAAAACAAAAACAACACATCAATAACGACAACACGCGCGACGGCGGCGAGAACGAGAAGCCGACCGCCGCGCCCGCCGCCGGCAGCCCCCAAAGGCGGGTGCGGCCGTGGCGACGAGAGGCCTCCCCGAGACCCCCCCGACGAGCCTCGCCCCTCGAACCCCGAGGCCGAGAGATCCTCGAGGCTCGGTCCCTTGAGCCTCGGAGTTAGGGATCTGGGTGCTCGGGGCACGCCTCGGGCCGAATCCCGAGTCGAGAAGGCCCCCAGGAGTCAACAAGGAGGGATGAAGACGAGAGGGCAGTGGAGAAGAAGAGGGGGAGGAGAGCATGAAGAGGGGGAGGAGAAGGGGGAGGAGGAGGATTAAAGGAGGACAAGAGGGGAGAAGAAAAGCAAGATAAGGGTGAGGAGGCGGAGCAGGGAGCGGTGTGGGTGGGGGGTCACATACTCCTACGAACTATCGAGAGGGACCCTCGGCGCGCCCGCCCGCGGCAGGGCGGCGGCGCATAGCGGCAGGCGATGTGCAGCGGCGTGTCGCCGCGCAGGTCGGCCTTGCTGTGGCGCGGCGCAGGGCGGCGGGCGGGAGGCTCGGTTGGCGCGGCTGGGCGGCGCCCAGGGCGCCCAGCAGAGGGGGGTTGGGGGGGGATAGGTGGGCCCTTCTCCTGGCCCTCCTCCTTGCTCGCCTCCTCTTGCCCCTCCTCCTTGTCCTCCTCCTCCTCCTCCTCCACCTCCACTTCCTCCACCTTCCCTTCCCTTTGCTGCTGCTACCCCTCCTCCTCGTCCCTTATCCTCCTCTCCTCGTCCCTTCTTCTCCCCTTCTCCTCCTTTTAGTCCCTCCTCTTCCTCCTCTTCTTCCTCCTCCTCCTCCTCCTCCTCCCGCTCCACCGCCTCCACCTCCTGCTGCCACTATTCCGTCCTCCTCCCCCTGCGCCCCCCCTCCCCCCCCCCCGAAGCGGGATCCACTGCCGCGGCGCGGCGGCGTGGGGCCCCGCCCCAGCGGGTGGGCGGCGACGCCCAAGACGTCCAGCGAAGGGAGGGTGAGGGGGACCCTCCGCCTCCCATTCATCCAGCTGCCGCTCCTCTCCTTCCTCCCCTTCCACCTGCTGCTGCAGCTGCTGCTCCTTCTCCTCCTTCTCCTCCTCCTCCCCATCCCATCACCCTTCTCCTCCTCCTCCTCCTCCTCCGCCTCCTCCTCCTTCTCCTCCTCCTCCTCCTTCTCTATCTCCACCTCCTCCACCTCCACCTCCTCCTCCTCCTCCTCCTCCTCCTCCTCCTCCTCCTTCATCACCCTCTCTTATACATAACTCCACCCTTTCACACCCCGAGGCCGGTCGAGCGGGCGGGCCCGGCGTTTCGCTGGAGACTGCAACAACAATTTCACGGATGCAGGGAGGGTAGTTTTCAGAATGATGCTACCGCCTTCGCGCCGCGCACATTGTTCTTAATCAATTGCCAGATGTTTGCGGCTGGAGGGCGGGCCAATTTCAGAATGCGGCTCTCGACTTAGCGCCGCGCACATCTGTCCTAAACAATTGCAAGGGCTTCACGAATGGAGGTCGGGTTGTTTTCAAAATGTGGCTCTCGCTGTTTGCGCCGCGAACACTTGTGTTAAACAATTGTAAGAGCTTCACGGGTAGAGGGCGCTCTCTCTTCAGAATTTGGCATTCGCCATTGCGCAGCGCTCATTCGTCTTATATGTTGCAGCAGACATTCTCATGGCTCACGTCCCAGAATGGTATTTTGGTACGATATTTGAATAGCAGGGCACAACAGTCACGTTGATTCGCGGTGGGGAAGTCCCTGGAATGGCGTCCTGGCGTGATTCAGGATCGTCAGGACGCAGCAGTAACGGTGAACCGCGGCGCTTAAGTCCAGGAATGGTGTGCTAGCAGGGTTCTGGATCTTTTAACGGCTGTCGTCGAACTTTTGTGGGGGCCTATAAAGAAGGAGCTTAGGAGGGTTGATTGCAGTATCGTTCATGAGCCTTGGGCTTACACTGGTCCTCCTCCTCCTTCTCTTCCTCCTCCAGCTCCCATCCTCCATCCTCCATCCTCCATGCTGCATCCTCCATCCTCCATTCCCTACTCTCCATTCTGCATCCTCCTCCTCCTCCTCCTCCTCCTCCTCCTCCTCCTCCTCCTCCTCCTCCCCTCCTCCCAGAATCTCCTCCCTCATCCTCCTCCTCTTCCTCCTCCCCCCCGCCCCCCTCCTCCTCCTCCACTTCTCCACTTCTCGTGCTCGTGCTCGTGCTCGTTCTCCTCCTCCTCCCCAGTCCGCGGCCGCTCGCGTCGGCGGCGGCAGCCACCCCAGCGGGGCGCCTGGTTCGGGTCTGCGCCGTGGGCCAGCAGCAGGGCGACTGCCGGGGCGCAGCAGCGCTGCGCCTCCGGGGCGCCGCCCGCGGCGCCGCCGGCCGCTCCCGCCCCGCTGCGGCCCAGCACGAGGCCAGGGCGAAGCCCTGACCCTGGACGCCCCTCGAGAACCTCCTCCTTGTCCTCCTCCTCCTCCTCCTCCTCTTCCTCCTCCTCCTCCTCCTCCTCCTTCTCCTCCTCCTCCTCCTCCTGGCGGAGGGGAGGAGGAAGGAGGAGAGAGGAGAAGTCGGCGGTGGACAATCTCTCTTTGGTAAACCCACCCTTAGAGAAAAAACGGCCTGGGACCGAAACCGACGGACCTGGGGTCGCAAAACTGACGGCCGCGACGCCCTCTCGCGAGCCGGAAACGGCCAATTCGCTAATCGACGTGTCAGGGTAGGAGGTCTGTCCACCCCCGAAGAAGACGAGAGGAGGAGAGGCGGCGGCAGGAGAAGAGGGGGCGGAGGAGGGAAGGATGCCCCTGAGCCCCTTGGCGCTGGCCCTGGCATGTGCTCGGTGCCAGGCGCGGGACGTACGACAAAGCCAGGACGAGGACAACATCGGGTGAAGATAAATCGAGGATGTCTGAGATCCGGCTGCTCGGGCGCCGCGGCCTTCTCAGAGCGTTCGGGAACGCTCTGAGAGCGTTGCGGAAGGCTCTGGAACGGATTTACCCTCGTCTAGCCCCATCGACTGCTGCTGTCCGGCTGTTCTGCCCTGCGATCCCGGCGTCGCATTCTGTCTTCACGACGGGTGTTTTTCGAGCGGGTGGTAATGGGGGGTGGCCTGAGGGGGGTAAAGAAAAGAGCCCCAGAGGAGCCCCTCGGGGCTCCTCCTGGAGCCAGCAGGGCCCACAAGGGGTACTACAGCGTTCCTCTTGAAGCCCGCTTCTTCACCACTGACCCATTTAGGTCCCCCCCCTACCACACGCCCGAATTGTGCCATGCGTCGGGCCCCGGAACCTTCGATGCAGCGGAAAGCTCGGGTCCAGGCTTCGGGTCGAATTTGTCCTGCGATGGTGCATTTGTTCGTGACGTCGGACCACAGGGTGCGGTGTCACACCCGGAGGCAATTTTCATCCGAGGTTCGCATCGCGAAGGAGTCCATTCCACTCTACCCCCCCCCCTCCTCCTACCCCCCCTCCCCTGCCCTGCCCTCCTCCTTCGCCTCCCCCAATTCCCCTTCCTCGGCCTCCTCCTCCTCCTCCTCCTCCTCCTCCTCCTCCTCCTCCTCTTCCTTCTCCACAATTACTCAATATGAATACTACTTACCCTCTTTCCCTGATGACGGCCTGGGAGTGTCCGACCCTCCCCCGCCTACTATTTTTTTACGCAGGTTTCCCCGGAAGTGGGTTTTCGCCTGCATTTTTTCAAAAATGCTGCTCTCGCTGAAGCGCCGGCCTCATTTTCGGGCCCCGCTCGTTCCGAATCGTGCTCCCGCTGCAGCGCTGGCCTCATTTCCGTGCTTCCGCTCGTTCCGAATCGTGCTCCCGCTGCAGCGCTGGCCTCACTTCCGCGCTTCCGCTCGTTTCGACTTGTGCTCCCGCTGCAGCGCTGGCGTCATTTCCCGTGCCATGCCACGGCATGCAATGCAATGCTAGGTTGATACTACGCTTTGCGGTGCTCTTCTACGCCATGCCGTGCCGTGCCCTACAATGCATCGCGTACCTTTTCGGGATCATTGCCCTGCTCGACATCCGACTGTGCGAGTAGAGATGGGATCTGCGCCATGGTAAGGGATGGGAGGGGGGGGGTAGGATGTCAGATATGACGCGAGCGCACCTAGCTTGTCCTCCACCCCCTCCGCCTCCTGCTCCTCCTCCTCCTGCTCCCCTTCCCCTTCCCCTTCCCCTTCCCCTTCCCCATCCCCTCCCTATTCCCATCCCCTTCCACTTCACACCTCCGAGCCGCTGTATGCGTCGAAAGGCGCATGAAGGTGGGCCGGCGCAGTCTCCGGCGGCGTGGGAATACGTCTGTGGCGAACAAGTCGCACAATGTGCCTACATCGCTTCGCTAAAGCAATCCTCCTCCTCCGCCGTCTCGTCGTCTTCCTCTTCCTCCTCATCCTCCTCCTCTTCGTACTTCCTCCCAGTACATCCTCCTCCTCCTCCTCCTCCTCCTCCTCCTCCTCTTGGTCTTACTCTTCCTCCTCCTCCTCCTCCTGCTTCTCCTCGTAGTCTTTCTCCTCCTCCTCCGTCTCCGTCACCTCCTCCTCCTCCTCCTCCTCCTCCTCCTCCTCGTTCCCCTCTCGCAGTCCTTCCCCTGCCCTCCATTATTCCCTCACCCCTCCCCCTTCCCTCCTCCGACCCCTTTCCTGACGCCTGCTCCTCCTTACTCGTTCCATCTCCCACTCTTAACCCCACCCCCCACATCTCCTCCCCTCTCCCTCTCCGCCCTCGCTCCCTCATCCCCCCCTCCCCCACTACCCCTTCCAGAAATGCTCGCGGGGGCGCGCCGCGTCGGTCAGCGGCGAGCACTTCCTGAGGTCGTCCCCAGGCCCGGCGTCCGGCCTGCGTGGCAGATGCCCTCCCCCCTCCCGACCAAGAAAACACCGAAGGAGAAACACCACCGTCACATGACAACGGAAGAGGATGACACAAAGGAAGAGGGAGGACCCTGAGGAAAAATTATCTGTGGTCGACCCGGCCCAGGCCGCTACGTACCTTAGGTTCCGATGGCCCATGGTTGCATTGCCAGCCCACTTTCACCTCCCTCCACTGCACCTCTGGCCCCTTCGTTGAGCAGTTGGTCGGCGGGCATGGGACGGGACAAGCGGCTGGCGGCCTTCAAACTGCGCTTGGGATGCCAGCCTGTTCACAAAAAGGTCCACGCTCCACGAGAAAGCTTGCTCTGGAACCGCCTATTGCAGTCACCTTGAAGACCCTTCATGGCGCTGTCAGTTTACTGTCCACACTGGCGACGCAAACACAATGAAGCATTTTTAACGCGCAAATGCTCGCAACTGAAAACGTAATGCTGCTTCGGGGCACGGGTGGCGGGAGGAAAACACACTACCAGGTCACATTACCTGGGCACGATTCCTTCGTGCAGGAGGAGGACATTGGGGAGGGGAGGGGGGAGGAAGGGGAGAAGGTGAAAAGATGAAAACGGGACAGGCAGAAAAGGAAGGACAAAGGGTGCGACAGGAAGTTAGAAGGAAAAAGGCAAAGGGCACGAGGAGGAGGAGGAGGCTTAGGAAAGAAGGACAGGCGGAAGAGGAGGAGGAGGAGGAGGAGGAGGAGGAGGAGGAGGAGGAGGGAGGAGGAGGGAGGAGGCGGAGGAGGAGGAACGGAAAGAGAGGGAGAGACAGAGAGAGAGAGGAGAGAGAGAGAGAGAGATAGAAAAACATAGTAGAGGAGGAGGAGGAGGAGGAGGAGGAGGGGAGGAGGAGGAGGAGGAGGAGGAGGAGGAGGAGGAGGAGGAAGGAGGAGGAGGAGAGGAGGAGGAGGAGGAGGAGGAGGAGGGGGAGGAGGAGGAGGGCTACTACTACTAACTCCTCTCGGGGCGAAGTTTCGAAGCAGATCAGAAATCACCCTAGGAACGGCATGCTACCGAGATGTTGGGCCCCCGGCCCACCCTGAAGGTTCCAAGGGTTTCGGAACCCCAACCAACCGACCACCACCACCCGCGAGCAGAGGGAGGGGAAGAAGCCCGCAAGCACGAGAGCCGCGAGGCAGCACGCAGAGCGGAGAGCCAGCGAGGAGCAGGAGAGGAAGGAAGGGGGGACAGCGGCGCAAGCGGCAGGCGCGCAGCAGCAAGGCGGGCGGTGTCCTACTGCACCCTGGGCCGCTTTGGGGGAAGGGGCGATTAAATTGAGGACTGAATTGCAAAGCGCGCCCCCCCACCCAAGATCCCGAACATACCATTGTATTTCTCTGGGGTGCGCGGGGGGGGGGGGGGCGTCTCCTATCAGGCCCAGGATCCGGGATGGAGGGGGCCCGACGACGGAGGGGGAGGATATGTAAACCTGTGCACGGCGCCTCTCGTCGAAGGCGCTCTCCACTGGCCTCCCCGCTGGAGGCCCTTCTTCTGGTGGTGGTAGGTGTCCACCATCCTTCTCCTCGACATTCAGCGCCCTGCCAATGTCGTGCTCCCGCTGGGTCCGTCCTAGACGTCGTCCAAGTACGTATTGAGGATCCGCCCCAGGTGCGGGATCGGGGCCACTCCGTTCTTCGAGACTCCGCCCAGCTGCCCCAAGCAAGCGTGCAACGGCTGCAACGTGTCTAGCTTCGTTACCGTGGTCCTCGCATCCGTCTCCTTGAACGCGGCCTGCGCCTGTACGAGTGAGAACAACTCCGCCGCCTGCTTCGGTGTCATCTCCGCGATCTTGTTCTTCATGGTTCCCAACTCCTTCTGGTTCTTCTGGCCGACAGCAACTCCCTGCGCCTCGCACCCCTTGATCAGTCCGACCATGGCCGCGCAGCTTATGGTGTTCAGCGTGGCGTCGATATCGCCGTTGTTTCGCTGTCGTAGCACTTGTGCCGATTCGATCCACGCCTTGACCCTTCCTCTCGCCTTCACCACGGGCTCCGTGTTCGCGCCAATGATGATCGTCGTCAGGGTCACCGCCTCCACCTGTCGCGTCCGCATCGCCAAGTTGAGCACCATCTTCGTCAGTGCGGGGGCTCGGGAGCGAAGCGTCTCCACACCCATCTTCTCGAGGCCTTCCAGCTCCTCCTGCGATACGACTCTGTTGTTCTGCTTCTGTCCACGCGTCTTGCCACGACGATCCGTCTGCTTTCCTCCTTCTCCCTGGTCTTCGCGATGCTGTCTCCGTCCGCTTCCTCGTTCGTCCCCTGCGCCCTGTCCCTCCGCCGCCAGCGTCGGTGCCAGGTCGAACGGCCCCCCCGTCACGCGCAGCTGGAGGCAGCGGGGTGTCCCACTTGAATGCGGGCAGCGGCCTCGGCAAGTGTCGGCGCAGGTGCGCCTGTAGCTCCTCGAACCGCTCAAATTGCTCAAGATCAAGAAAGAATGGGCAACTTCGCTCGCATGGGTCTATGACGGGGTGGTTGTAGGGGCCGACGTCCACATGGCATCATCCTTGCTCATGCGCGTGCTGCAAATGTCGAACCGCCGTCTATCTATCCTCGAAGCTACTCCTGCATGCTACGCATTGGTTCGTCATCGTGATCTTCTCCGTCGTCCTCTGTCCCCCATGCTGCCCTCCCTCTGCCTGACGCTGATGGACGAGGAGAGCTCTTTTACTCTTGAAGCGCTTCGAGCAAGGTAGGCCGTCGGCGTCATGCAGCTCACACTCGTAGCCACCGTCTGCGTGTTCACCTGGTTCCTGCACTTGTTGTGTCGCGCCAGCCCCCGGTACTATGTCTACCCTTCGACGCATGAACCATTCGTTGCGAAACTGTTTGACGTCGAGGAGGGCGAAGGCCGCGTTGACTTCCGTTTCCGCATCGAAGAGGCGCAGGTAGCCACCGTTCATCATCTCCAGAATATGCGCCCCCTCCTACGTCACAGCCATGTAGTGAACGTGCTCCCTGAGTAGGACCGGCCAAGGGTTGGCATTTGCCGTACTCGTATACTACATGGCCTCGGCGGGGAACCACTCGCACTCGCTGTCCTTCTCCCCCTCGATCTCCAGGTCGCCGAATGCAGCCGCAATCTGTTGCTTGTGCCAATCAGGCTTCCGCGCAATCGCCCGCCACTCTTTCAGCCGCTGCGCCCGAAATCCAACTGCTGTCGGGACTTGCCCCAGTCGGAGCCAAATCTCAAGTGCAAGGGGGGTGCGCAAAACTTCCGATACCCCTCCGCGTCCGTCATCCACCTCTACTCGTACTGCCACTCCGTCCAGTAATACACGTCCGAACATCAGAATTTGGCGATCCAGCTTGCCCGTCTCCGCCGCGCTGAGCACCAGTCCAGTTAATCCAGACGTGGCTGCGCCCATCACCATGCTCCGAAACGCAATCTTCTGGATCTTCCACTGCTCGACGTCGCCCAGAACTTCTCCATGAAGTACCATCCGCGTCGGGCTGCTGCACACCGTGCCGCGAAATTAGGCCCGAAGATGCCGCTGCTGGTGAAGGTGGCCCCTAGGAAGGTGGCCTCCTCCAGGATGGTGCCTGGGATATCGCCGTTCATGAGTCCGTAGGAGACGCGTCTGTTATAGGCGTGGGAGCCAGGGCCGACGTAGTGCGGCGCCGCAGCCTTCTTGCCTTGGCTCTGCACAACTCCAATCCCTCGTAGTGCCGTGTCCAACTGCTTGTCGGAGTACATGATGGTTTGCCTCGTGTGGGCAGGGTCGACCGCGCGGTGCGTCTTGTTGACATTGTCGGCAAAGGCTCGGAGCGATAGGTCCACCAGCTCGTCTGACAAGGCGTAGCACGCCACCAGCTCGTTTGGGTACTTCTCATGGTGGAGCTGCTGCCAGTGCCCAGCAGGCACGGCGAACGCCTCCTGGAACAATGTGGCCGCGTTGGAGTCGCCCATGTAGTTGCCTCCTTCGTTCTTCATCGTGATGACCTCTCCCTCGGCTCCACTCTTGAAGCAGGCTCGACGATGTCGCTGATGTCGCTGGACAAGGATCTTAGCTTCGCTTGCTCGATAGAGTCTGCGGACCGCACCATCAAGCTGAGGGTGTCGGACTGAGGCGAACGCGTTCTGCATGTCGTGCTTGGCGTCTACCGTCGAGATCCTGTGGCGCCTAGTCCTCCAGCTGAGGCAGGCAGTAGTCTGCGTGGCTCCCGCGCGGGAACGTCGAAGCAAGTAGCCGTAGCCGTGGTCGGGGACGTTCCTGCCCTTACGCTGCGCGGTCTTCACCCAGAGATTGCCGAAGGAGCGCAGCTCGCGAAGCAACCTCATGGACTTGGTGCCCTCCTTGCCGCTCTGCTTGCTAACCTGGTAGGTCCGGGACATGTCCCAGTGCGCCACGTGCCGTTGGTGCTGTCGAACTCGCGCCAATATGCCCGCCAGCCAGCGTCGGACTGCAGAGGGTCGCCCGCCCCCAGTCCCGCGGTCCGCTTCGTAGGCGCCGGTCTGGTCGAAAACAGGATGGCCCAGACCTCTGCAAGGACCGACCACGGGACGGGTGCCCTTCGCCTCTTGGTGCTTCTCAAGGCGTAGCATATCCTTTGGTAGTCCTCCGCGCCCTCCGCCAGGTCATGGTACGCTGGCTGCCCCTGCTGGTCGTTGTGGCCCGCCTCGCTGATGAAGTCATGCTCTTGGATTTCGGGTGCGCCCTTGCCGCCGCCCCGTGCAGGCTTGGCCATGTCGGTCTTCCACTGGTCCGCCGTGGGCGCACGCTCCGCCACCATCTTGAAGTTCCGTCTCCGTGGTCCAATCCGTCGCCCTGCCATGAGTCTGCAGAGTCGCCACTCCTCCTGGGCTTGGCCACGCGCATGGGCCTCATCGAGTTCGTCGCTGAGCCGTTGGCCTCGTAGTTCTCGTAATCGGGCCCACGTCCGCGCACACTTGGTTGTGATCCTGTGCAGCTGTAAGACTGTCTCGGGGTCCTCGGCGATGCGCTCGCGGGCGGCGCCTCGCTGTCTGAGAAGTCGCACTCGTTCGGCTGCTAGATCCTGGTGCTCCTGAGGCATGGCTTCCGCACTCGCCTGGAACATCGAGAGTCCCTCTCTCTGCAGTAGTCGTACCAGGTCCATCCGCGCCCCTTCCATATTGGGGTAAGCAGCCAGCATGTCCACCATGTCATTGTAGCCCATGTCGTGGAGGTAGTTGCTGATCGCATTCTCGGTTTGAGAACGGAAGGGGGTGGCAGTCTGCTCGCTCTGCAACGCCTCTGCCAGCTTCACATAATCCCACCGCTGCGTCGGGGCAGCAGCACTGTAGTCTAGGTCCACGACAAGCTCCATCAGGTACGCCATGTGGTCTCTTAGCCTATGGTCAGGAATCGCCTGGAGTCGTCGGGTCGAGCGGTACGCCTGTCCGAACTTTGTGGCCTTCTTGGCTAGCGAGTTCGGGGTCATCACATGGTCGATACACGAGACGTGCTGTTTGTCCTTTCGCCTGCCCTCCGTAGAAGGTCGGACCACATGGGTAGAACGTATTTACAACCATCATGTCGATATTCTCTGCCAGCTGCCTGAATCTCGTTCCCGTGTACTGTTCAGCCTGTCTTGCATACTGGCCAGCACTGTCACTGTCGACCCTCTGCATTCCTGCTTCAGTCTTCACAACTCCGATGCCGTCGTTCACGTCCGCTCCGATGATGGGGGCAATGCGCCTGGGGACCCTAGCCAAGAGGGACGAGGTGAAGTCCTCAATCGCCGCGGTAGTGTTCTCGATGCGATGCCGTTCTCGTCCGTCTCGGCTGTTCGGGCAGTCGTATAAGCCGACCAGCGTGATGTCGTAGGTCTTACTCTTGAGTCTCATCGCCCCCGCCCGACCTCGTAGAGCGGGTGGGGGCGTCCGTATCCGTATGATCAGCTTCTTGCGGATCGTGTCCTTGTTGATGTATATGGAGATTCCACACGCACGATTGCTCAGTCGAGCAATTTTGTTCTAGCCGAAGTGTACAGCCCTGAAGTGCGATAGATCCTCTATCGCGTACGCCGTCTCCGTTCGCCTCTGCGTGCCAATCATAATGATGGCGTCCACAATCTTGTACTCGTGAGCTATCTCCAGCTTGCGGTCGCGGTCCACAATGCTCAGCGGGTTCCATATCACGATGCGCATCAGCGCGATCAGCAGCGGCATGCCCATCGCGCCAGCACGAATTGCAGGGCGCGGCCGGCGGGGGGTGGAGGCCCACGTTGGCTCCAGGGCGTCATGGCCATGGCGCGGCCGCACGCGGCGCGGCCACGGTCCCGCTCCTGTCATTAGCCCACGTGGCTAGGAGGAAGAGGAGGGAGGAGGAGGAGGAGGAGGAGGAGGAGGAGGAGGAGGAGGAGGAGGAGGAGGAGGAGGAGGAGGAGGAGGAGGAGGAGGAGGAGGGGAGGAGGAGGAGGAGGAGGAGGAGGGAGAGGAGGAGGAGGAGGAGGAGGAGGAGGAGGAGGAGGAGGAGGGATCAGGAGGAGGAGGAGGAGGCGGAGGAGGAGGAGGACGGAGGAGGAGGAGGACGAGGAGGAGGACGAAAGCGAGAGAGATAAGGAGGAGGGGGTGGAGCAAGAAGGAGTGGAGGGAGGGAAAGCGAAAGCAGGAGCTGGAGGAGGCAGGAGGGGGAGCAGGGAACAGGAGAGAGCAGCAAGGAGCAAGAGGAGGATCAATCCCCAAGGCGGCGGCCATGGACAAGCCCCAGCCCCCAGGGCGAAGGTGGCGGCCGGCGCCTGGCCCCGTGCTCCAGCAGCAGCCTCGCCATCAGGTGCCCCTGGTCGCCCTGCGCGGCAGGCGGCGCTACGGCGTCCCAGCGCCGCTTCTGACAACTTGTTACAGGAGGGGCGACGACTGCTACACCTACATCCTCCTCTTGCTCCTCGTCCCTCCTCTTCCCTCCTCCTCCTCCTCCTCCTCACCCTCCTCCTCCACCTCCTCCTCCTGCTGCTCCTAGTCCTCCTCCTCCTCAACCCTCCCTCCCTCCCTCCTCCTCCTCCTCCTCTTCCCTTCCTCTCTTCCTCATCCTCCCTCCCTCCCTCCCTCCTCCCTCATCCTCTTCCCTTCCTCGTTCCCTCCCCCCTTCCTCCCTCCCTCCCTCCCTCCCTCTCCCTCCCTCCCTCCATCCCTCCCTCCCCCCCCTCCCTCCCTCCTCCCCCTCCTCCTCCTCCTCCTCCTCCTCCTCCTCCTCCTCCTCCTCCTCCTCCTCCTCCTCCCCCTCCTCCTCCCTCCTCCTGCTCCCCCTCCTAGGTGGGGGGGCGCCACGGGCGCCCCCCCCACCTCAAGAGACGTCCCAAGAGACGTCCTCCTCCCCCTCCTCCCTCCTCCTCCTCCTCCTCCTCCTCCTCCTCATCCTCCCTCCTCCTCCTTTCTCCTTCTCCTCCTCCTCCTCCTCCTCCATTCCTTTACCCTATAAAGAATGTATCCCGGTCGCACCCCGAAACCAGTTCTTATTGCGGGCCGGGCGTTTCGCCTGCGACTTCCTCACCACTGATGAGTCTGAAGCTGAGAAAATGGCAATCGTTTCACAGATGGAGGGCGGATGGTTTTCAAAACGTGGTTCTCGCCTTTGCGCCGCGCACATTCGAAAAAAATGATAGAAGCTTCACGGATCGAGGGCGGGCCGTTTTCAAAATGTGGCTTTCGCCTTAGCGCCGCGCGCATTCGTGATAAAAAACGGCTAGAGGTCCACGGATTGAAGGCGGGTGGTTTTCAACATGTGGCTCTGGCCTTAGCTCCGCGAACATTCGTTTTAAAACATTGCAAGAGCTTCACGGATTGAGGGCGGGCCGTTTTCAAAATGTGGTTCCCGCCTTAGCGCCGCGCGCACTCCTTCTAAACAATTGCATGCGTTTCACGGATTCCCATGACCAACGTGCCAGGAATGGTGCTTTGGAAGGATTCAGGATGACGCGGCTGCAACAATTAGGTGGATTCGCAATGTTCAAACACCAGAGACGGCGTTCTGGCACGATTCCGGCTCCTCGAGACGCAGCAGTCTGGTGCATCCGTGGCGTTGAATCCTGAGAACAATGTTTGGCATGCTCCAGGGTCTTCAAGCGGTTGTCTTCCATCGAAGAAGTTCCCTTTATGGATTTGAAACGCAGTAGGGGCCTATGAAGAGGGAGCTTGGGGGGAGGGTGAATTCCAACATCGTTGTTGACTCTTGGGTTTGCACTGGTCCTCCTCCTCCTCATCATCATCCCTCCCTCCCTCCATCAGACCCTCCCTCCCTCCCTCCTCCCTCCCTCCTTCCCTCCTCCCTCCTCTCCTCCTCCTCCTCCTCCTCCTCCTCCTCCTCCTCCTCCTCCTCCTCCTCCTCCCTCTCCTTTCCCCTTTCCTCCGTTCCTCCTTTCCTCCGTTCCTCCGATCTTCCTCCTACTTCTTCTCTTCCTTCCGTTTTCCTCCAACTCCCTGTCGCACCCCGAGACATGTCGGTAGGGCGGGCCCGGCGTTTCGCCTGAAAGTTCCTTGCCTTTGCGCCGCGACATTTGTGCAAGATCGCAACAGGTTTAAGCATGGAGGGCGGGTGGTGATCAAACTGTGGGTCTCGCCTTAGCGCCGCGCGCGTTCGTCTTGAAGGTTAGCAGCACAAGTTCAACGATTAAGGGCGTTGTTTCTCAAACTATGGGTCTCGCCTTAGCGCAGTTCCGATTCGATCTTTGAAAAATGTACTATGACTCCAAAGATTCGGCTGCTCGAATTCCCCAAACTGGGGTTCCGACAAGATTTAGGATGGTCAGAATGCCTGGACAGGGTTGATGTGAGGTGTTGCTATCGCCTGGGCAGGGTTCTGGCACGATTTGCGGCTGTCAGGGTGCAACAGTCAAGTTGGCCCGCGACGCTGAAGTCCAAGGAATGTTGTTTTAACACGGGTGGGGATTCTCCGACGGTTCTTTTCGAATGGCGCATTTCCCGAAATGCAAAAAGCCCGTGTTGGGCCCTACACAGAAGGAGCTTGGAAGGAAGGTTTATTGCAACACCGCTGATGCGTCTTAGCTTTCCGCTGGTCCTCCTCCTCCTCCTCCGTCCCTCCTCCTCCTCCTCCTGCATCTCCTCTTCCTCCTCCTGCCCATCCTTCTCCTCCTCCTTCTCCTCCTCCTGCTCCTCCTTCATTAAATCCTGGAGGGGACGTTCGGATTTCGAATTTCGAGGTTTGCGGGTGTCCTCGTAGGACCTCCGCGGTTTGCCAGCCGCGGGGTGCTCTCCAGCAACTGCGCCTCGTCGAGAGCGCTCCGGGGGTGCGCCCGCTGGATAGCCGAGTTATGACCCGATGCACGCGGCAGGCGTTGCTTGATGTGGGTGGGCGGGGGGGGGGCGTAAAAGGGGTCTCGAAGAAGGCTCGGGAGTCCTCCGGGCTTCTGGGAAGTCTTCTCAACCTCCCCCCCCAAGCTCGGAACACTTCTCCAAGGCCGGGGGGCATCTGAGAAGCTCCGCCGCATTCTGAAAAGGCCTCCTGCTTCTTGATGGGCCTGTTTTCCACCACCACCACCACCACCATGAGTTGGAGGGGGAGGGGGTCCTCCTCCTCCTCATCCTCCTCCTCCTCCTCCTCCTCCTCCTCCATCTATGGTGGTGGTGGTGGAAAACATGCCCATCACTTCATACTTCCCCCCATTGCTTGCCGCCGACTAAAGGGGGCCCCTGGGGCCCCGATGCCGCCGCCGCCAACGCCGCCGACGCCGCCGCCAGCGACGCCCGCGGTCGTAAGGAGGAGGAGGAGGAGGAGGTGGAGGAGGAGGAGGAGGAGGAGGAGGAAACCCCCAAAATCTCAAAATTGTCAAAACATCGTCCCCAGACTTGTTTATATTATGTTTGAACATTCTCACTGTAGAGGTGACACGCCCGACTTAATCGTTGTCGTGTGTTGCCCGTGGCTCTTCTGGAAATTGTCGGCTCCTCGGGACCTTCTCGCCGTGGAGCTGCTCTCGGGACAAGCGCGCCTTGCCGAACGCGTCCCGAGAACGCCAGCGTCGTCCCGGGCGGCAACCAGGGTAGCGGTACTGGCCAGTCGGAAGAAGTACGTGAAAGCATAAAGTAGGAAGGCGCATAAAGTAGACTGGGTTCGGGCCCGCCCAGACAATATCCAATAGCAAAGATAGCCGTATCGATTCTTGAAGTGAGAAGGCGCTTGATTGGGATATGGGAATCCAAAAGCACCTACAATCGGGCTGCTGAAATACGGAACGGTAATTGAGGAACGAAGTCCCTATTCTTCCAAATCGAGGCGTGAAATCCGAAGGAACGGTCGTAGAATCCGAAGGAACACCGAAAGGATTCGCCACCAAAAGAGCAACGGAAAGCACGCAACCTCTCGACCTCGAACTGGACCTTCTTTCGGCGAACTGACTCTACTTTCAGCGAGCGGCGTGTGTCTCAGTACCCTCCCCCTCTGCTTGAAAAGATTGCGACGCCAGGCCTCTGAGGGAGCGCTCCCAGCCTCTACTGGGTCGCGATCTGGCCCAGGACCTCGCGGCGGAGCCTGCCGCGGGGACGAGGAGGCCCAACAAGCCTGGATGCTCGAAGTTCGGTCCTCGAACCTCGGGCGGGTGCTACTTGTAGGGGGGTGGCCTAAATGGGGGGTGGAAGAAGGGGCCCCAAAAGGATCCCCAAGGGGCCCCTTGAGGGACCTGTTCTTCACCACACCCCCTCTAAGCACCCCCCAATTACCACCCGCCAGAGAATCTCGTTCCTCGATCCTCCGCCTCCACGCCCCCCAACGACAACGATCACCGACGACTGGCCGACGACGCCGCGGGCGGCCTAGACGGCGACGACGGCGACGAAGACCGGCGACGACGACGACGAAGACCGACGGCTGGCAGACGACGCCGCGGGCGGCCTCGACGGCGACATCGACGACGGCCCGCGGCGACCGTGGGCGGCGCTCCTCCACCATGCAGGTCTGCACCGCCAGGTGCAGGGGCCTTCGCGCGGGCGACCAGTAGGAGGAGGAGGAGGAGGAGGAGGAGCTTGTCGTTGTCGTCTTCTCAGTCGTCGTCGTCTTCTTCGTCGTCGTCATCGTCGTCGTTATCGACTCCCCAGGACTTCGGACGGCTTCCCGATTCGGCGATTGAGGATTCGTGCTCGTTGTTTTCTTGGATTGAAGGCTGCCTCGCCTGGCCCTGGCAGGTGCTCCTGGTCTTTGGGGGGAAACGAAACGCATCCTGTTGCTCAGGCCACTGCCTCGGGTGTTGCTAGAGGTACCCCTGACCCAAGGTGTAGGATTCTCGGGGTGGCCCAGGCGGCCTCCAGGGCACCCCTCACGAGGCCCAGAGGACCCCAGGGGCTCCAAAATGGAGCGCAAAGCCGGGGGCACCTTGGGCCACCCTCGCCCTCATTCTTCCAGACCTTCCGTGCTGACCTTCCACACTCATGCGCTTCGTGAAATGCTTAGTTTTCGAGCGTTTCCTGAGGCTTTCAATAGTTTCAATGCGTCACCTTCCGCGCCTTCCGCAGAGGTCGGAAGGTATGGAAGATGGAGGTGGAGGGCAGGGGCACATCTGGCAGACGCCTGGCGCGCGCGGCCCCTGTGCGGCGCGGCGCGCGAGGCGCCCGGCGCCCGCGGAGCGGAGTCGCGCCAACGAGGCCCGCCTCATCCTCCTCACTTCCCCTGTTCTTCCTCCTCCTCCTCCTCCTCCTCCTCCTCCTCCTCCTCCGCCCTCCTTGTCCTCCTCCTCCCCCTCCTCTTCGCGCATCCCCCTCCCCCTTCACTTCTCCCCTCCTCTTCGCCCCTCCTGCTGATTGCTGCTCGGCAGGGCGCTGCTTTTCCTCCTCGAGAGCCCCGCGGCCGCGCCGCGGCGGCCCCTCGAGCGCTCGGCCGGGCGGCGGAACGGACTCTTGGGCGCGAGTTCATGGGGGGGCGATACATGAGAGGCATCCTAGATGGGGTCCGAGCAGACGGGGTCGGAGGATCGCGCCGCACCGCCGATACATCGGCGATGCACCGCCGATGCATTGGCGATGCATCGGCGACGTCGGCGGGGCTTCGGCGCAATCGGCGCGGAGAAATTCGAGCTCCACATCGAGCCGCATTGGCGATGCGTCGGGGATGCGGCGGGATCCTCCGACCCCATCCACTCGGACCCCGTCTGGGAGAGGCGCCCTGCTCGGGCCCGAAAGGCCCCCTCTTTGGGGCCCGCGAGGGCCCCCCCACCCTGCAGGGGCCCTCGAGCGCCCCTGTCCTGCAGCCCTCGTTGCCCCCCATTTACCAGCCTGGAACAGATCCCTATCCCCAAGCTGGGCATCGCCTCATCACAATGCCAGTCTTAGGGATTCCCTTAGTTCTTGAGGGCGCGTCCCTAAGATTGTCATCGCCTTTTGGGGTATCAATCTTAGGGATAGGGATACGTTCGAGACTGGTGACCCATGTATCGCCCCTCGTGATGCGGCCTGCAAGACTCTCGGCCAAAGTGCGCCTCCGGCGAGCAGACGAGCAGACGGGGGGCATGCCACTCGGGCGGGTGTGGAGGCGTCGCGCGTGGCCGCGAGGACAGCCCAAACACACACAAGCCTCGGTCGGGCTCGGAGGCTGCAGCCTCCCAGGAATCACCGCCACCATCGGGGCCGCGGCCTCTCTCAGTGGAGACTCGCCCAGTCACTCTCACCAGTTCTAAGACATGTTCAAGAAGACCAAACAACATCCGACTTGGACAGATCGAGATCTCTGAGATCCGGGGGTTTGGGAGGATGGATGTATCGGGCGCCGCGGCCGTTCCAGAGCGCTCCAATGCGCTCTGAGAGCGTTCTGGAACGCTCTGCAGCAATTCAGCCCAGTGCTGGACCCGCCCCAACCGATGAAGTGGGGAGGCGTGCCTTCCCAGACCTCCAATACTTTGCCAAAAACACATGCCGGGAACGCTTCGCCACTTTCGGCCCCCGAGGGGCCCTTGCCAGGCAAAGGGACCCTCGAAAAACAACTCGGGATAGAAAACAGCCCTGGGGAAGGGATAGGGACTTCCCGGGACCCCGTCTAGAAATGCAGTCAGCGAGCCTCCCAGCTCCCACCCCCCAGAGGAGCGGGATGATGAGGAGGAGGTCGAGGATGGAGATAACGAGGAGGAACGGGAAGATGAATGAGGAAGATAACCGACTGTGACTGCATGGGAGTCGTGTTGACAAAACAGAAAAACACCACATCTGTGGGGACGCGGTGAGTC